CGACAGCGAGGCCGGGAGAAGAAAGGGGGAAGGGTCGGTTCGGCTCATAAACTTTCAAACAAAATACAGAAGTACAAACCAGTTCTGCCCAAGAAATGTTTACTGTGCTTAATTACATCTCGCTGAAACAAACTAATGTTGTGTCATCACAATAATGCTTACAAATTGTTTCCAAAGGTAAAAATAAACAATAGCCTATGCCAAATGCAGATACTAATGCTCTAACGTTACCCATGATAACTTTGATGCACCGTTTGCGCCGTTTTGAGTGATGACAGCTTATTACTCAAAAGTCAACGTTTAATCAAAACAAAGCACAAATTATAAACACAGGTCTAAGTCTAGATCATCTAAATCAAATCATAACTAGATAAAACTAGCGTTGGTCTCAATGCGAGGGAACTGCGTGTTGAATGGCTGTAATTTAAAAACCCGATGGGAGCATTTTGCCGCAGCACGATAGCAGGTTCCCCGACCACAGATCCCCAAAGCGGCTTTCGTGGTTGGCCACAAGGTAGCAAACCGCTGTGCAACAATCAGTTCCAACGGTCCTAACAATGCAACTCTTTATATCTGCAACAATGCGCCTTTGAAGCATAGGAATGAACGCAGAAACTGCTCATACTGACCTGGCGTTCAGGGGGATCTGGGAGCGGCCATGTCCGTTAGTTGGAGAGTCTCTGAAATAAACTTTTCCCTCGGCACTTGCGTGAAAAGATACTGCGCGGCAACAACACAAAACACACGACCTGACCGCGTCGCGCTTCCAATCGCAGTCTGTCTCTGTGGGTGAGTGAGTGCGCACACCCGCCTGTCCTGTGAAGCTCTTTTGGACGGCTTATGCTCCTGTTACTGCATCAGGCCCCCTCGTGGTGCTGCGAGGCTCTTGATCCTCCTTCTATTCAGAGGAAAGTACGCAGAGGCGTTTGCGTGGTTCTGCACAGCACTCGGTCACACACTTTTTGCACAAACGTCAGTCAATTAGTGCTGAATTTGAATTTGATTTATTCTACAGCATTTTATATTGCATTCATTGTTTTATGTATTTTATTTACATTACAATCCATTTAATATTTTGATTTTATTATGCTATTATGAGGTAAGAGTTAAAATATCTTTTAAGACGCTGCTAGATTTTTTTATTGAACAGTACCTGATATGAACCAGTCATTGCGCAGTTGCAAAAAGTTTGTGCATTTGGACCTGAAAGGGGCACCTCCTAGAATTGGCTACCTAATTGAGGTACAACTTATTTTACTCTTTTATGACTGTTTAAATAAAACTTTAAGGAATTAACCACTATTTTGTTTCTACAGCTGATCCAGTTATTTGCTGATCTTGGTGCCAATGGCTTGCTCATCGAATATGAGGATATGTTTCCCTATGAAGGAGAGCTGAAAGCTCTTCAATCTACAACTCAGCCTCCATACAGGCAAGTATATATTTTCAAAATAAGGTTTTTTTTTTTTTTAATGTGACTGATAAAAATACCTATTATCCAAACAGGCGTGATGAGATTGTGTCTATCCAGGATGCTGCCTACAGTAGAGGGCTGGAGATCATTCCCCTGGTTCAGACATTTGGACATTTGGAAGTAACTATGAAACCTGTTTTTGTCATTTACAGAGAGGAAGAATTATTTATCCATTTGAATTATGCATATTCAAACTCTTTACTATTTAAAAATGTTCTCAATCAGTTTGTCCTGAAGCATGAGGTGTTTAGAGATCTGCGGGAGGTGGACTACTGTCTGGGCACCCTGAACCCACACCGTGATGCAGGAGTTAGGCTGGTGCAAGAGATGCTACAACAAGTCATGAAGCTCCACCCTAAAAGTACCAGCTTGCACATCGGAGCCGATGAGGTACAGCCCATCCCTCCATCAATAAAATGCCACATGTGTGGCTACAATATAATAATTCCTACAAGTGAACTGTTGCCTGTTCAAAGATGTTTGACATTTAAGCTTAGGGTGCTAGTTTTATATTGGTCTGTTGATCCAATAACATTTTTTTTAATAGGTGTACATGCTCGGTCATGGAGATGAGTCCAAACATTGGTTAGATGTTCCAGGTTGGAGCGTTCACCAGCTGTTCCTCAGTCATGTCATTAAGGTGGCAAAGGGCGTTCAGGAGAGTGCGCCCAACCTTAATTTGATGATGTGGGATGATATGCTCAGGTCCATGACCCCTGAGACCATTAAAGGCGAGCAGTTAACATATTTATCACCCATTTTGGAAAATTATCATGATTTTGTTGCGTATAAGAGGAAAGGATGCATTTAATAAATAGTTCCTTATGTATAAATGCATGCTTAAAGGGGTAGTCCAAAAATAATAATTCTGTGATTATTTACTCATCCTCATGTCATTCCAAAACAGTGAACCCCACTGACTGAAAAAAAAACGTTCAAACGTTTTTCATGTATAATCTTAAAAATGAATAATCTTCTTTTAAATTATATATTAAAATAGGTGAGTTTGGAAGTTAAAATTTTAATTAAAAATTTAAGGGGTTGTTCACCCAGGATGCACTTTATAAATGGTCGGTCTTTGACTCATGCGACATGTTTCAATGTTTATTTCTCGTCAGACACCAGACACTTCCCTTCAGTTGCTTTTTGCATGCTTATGATACTTTCACCTCCTTCCCCTTGATACATTAAAGGTCAACACCTCTATCTTCACTGGGCAAAAATATCTTAAATGTTCCACATCCTCCACGTTGACTCAACGTGAAATGAAATGAATCAAATGGAAATAAATAAATGTAATCTTATGTGAGAAATTACCAAATCGAACTAAAGTCTATGCCAAAAGAATTATACTGCATTTTCTAATTCATGGCTATCACTTTTATACTGTATATACACTTTTCTTTGCATTATACTAATAACAATTTATATCCAATTTATGGTCTAATTTTAGAGAGTGGTCTTGTTGGATTAGTGCAACCAATGTTGTGGGATTACAGCCCTACTCTAGATGTGGAGAACACTGGTAAATTGGGTCAAAACACACTTTACTGTTAAATGTTGTGAGCTATTTGATCATGAAAATGCTTGATTATTTTACATGTTCTTTTCCAGTCATGCTAATGGAACGATATAAGTCCGCGGGTATGTCACAGCAGTGGGCAGCCAGCTCTTTTAAAGGCTCGACCACTGTGCACACCTGTGTGACCAGCACTCAGAGACATCTGGACAACCATTTACAATGGCTCAAAGTAGCATCCAGCCTGTCAGCTGGCATTAAGCTACAGGGAATTGCTCTAACTGGATGGCAAAGGTTAGATGGCATCTTGACTATCACTAGAATCACAATTGTCTTACTGGCCAAGACAACTACATGTATGTTTCTTTGTTTCCTCTTAAGATATGACCACTTGTCTATTTTGTGTGAGCTGATGCCTGTGGGTTTGCCCTCTCTGGGGTCCTGTTTGCAAACTCTTCTGCACGGTCAGTCACTTTCATTTTCACACATTTAGATTTCTTTTTTTGGTGGTAAATTGATGGCAGTATATAAGTATTAAGAATGCTTAACTCACTATAGCTGTTCACTGTGATTCAGGTGGCTTTACTGAAGAGGCTCAAAAGAAGGTGGTTGAGACACTTGGTACTGTGGATGTAGAAGACACAGAGAGGTACCGTATATTTATATTCGTGCCCTAAAAGATAAAAAAGCATGTGTTAATGTAGCACTAAGAAACCTCAAGGGTAACTTTAAAATAGACTCATTTACAGAATATTCTTTGGCCTGTGTGTCCCAGATTGTCTTCCAGGACATCTTCCTCCTTTGCTGGGGCAAAACTAGCTGAACTCATAGTGAAGCTGACGTCTTTGCTGGAGTCTGCAGAACTGAGACATTTTCAGAACAATATGTGAGTTTAGGGCCTCTTAAGTTTTAAGACGGTTGTGAAGTTAAGGCTAACTTTTCACCAAACATTTGTATTCATTCTTGCATAACAGGTTTGTGAGGGGCTGGTTCACACCCTACCACAGGCAAAAAAAGACAATTAACCCACTTATTGCACAACAGATTAAAACACAAGCAAAAATGTAAGTTTCTTAATATGTATACTTATATTTACACTACTTTTCAAAAGTTTGTGGTTGCTCAGATTGTTTAATGTTTTTGAAAGAAGTCTCTTGTGCTCACCAAGGCTGTGTTTATTTGATCAAATATACAGTAAAAACAGTAATATTGTGAAATATTATTACTTTGATATAACATCATTTTAAATAAATGTTTTGACTATTTTACTATATTTAAACATGTAATTTATATCTGTGATGCAAATCTGAATTTTCCGCACTCATTACTTCAGTCTTTAGTGTCTCTTGATCCTACAGAAATCATTCTAATATGCTGATTTGGTACCCGAGAAATATTTCTGCTTCTTACCGATGTTGAAAACAGTTGTGCTGCTTTATATTTTTGTGGAAACTGTGATACACCATGCGTCTTATTCATGTGAACTTTTAACAAGGTTTTATGATATATCCATATTTTTCCTCTCAATTCCTCCAACAGTATTCTTGATGCTGTGGAGAGCCAGGTGCAAGAGGTGAGAGGAGAGATGTGTCTGCTGTACTCAGACTCTACAGTTCAGGAATGGGTGGACCAACACATCACTCCAGTGCTGGAGCCTCTGCACAACCTACTGAGAGACATTGAAACTGTTTTAAATGAAATGGGACTTTGTACCGAATCCATATCTTAAAGTTGGTCAATAAGTTTATTTTGAAAACTTTCTTCGGTTCCATTCAAGCTAGACTGTACTTGCAGTACAATGTAAAACTGAATGAAACAACTGAGAAAGCTTGTGTTTGTGAATCACTGTTGTATTATTTTAGTTAAAAAAATTATATTTTTGTTTGTTTGTATTATAAAGGTAATGAAATAACATTATTGTAATATTTATTTTAAAATGATTACCAACCAATATGTACATAAATTAAATCTCTCATTCTGACTTTCTGTGCTTAATAAACCATTTTAAATTGAAAGTTTTTTTTTCTTTGTTGAATTAATCCATCCACAAATTCTAAAGTGTTTTTAGCATTATTGATATATTATTATAGTATTTATTAATATTTTAAAATAGTTTTTATTTTTGTATTTTACGTTTCTTATTTATTTATTGTTAGCTTTTATGTGCTTTTGTCCCTTTTTTATATATATTTTTTAATTATTTATGTTTCTTAATATTATTTATTTCGGTTAGTTACCAATGCAGCATTTTTCATTCATTCATTTGCAATTGTTGAAGTCTAATATTTTCAGCTTTATTGCAGTTACCGGCAGTTATGTTAATTGTTTTAGTTTAAAATAATAATACCCACATTATCGTTGACATAAAAAAAATTAAACAAATCCCCCAAATATTATTGTCCAGACTTTTATTTTGGCACATATGGATTTACTTGACCGGGAAGTGATATGAGTCTCACTCATAATATTTGTAGCTTACATGGGTCGTTTGTATAAACAAAACGGATCGGTGTAGCGGTTTTTGGGAATTGTAAGCTATGTCGCCTCGCGTGCGCGTTACTACACCGCAACGCTTTTGTCGTCGTTATCAGCGCGTGTAAACCCGGCTCGTTTAGCGTAACAGCGCCGTGCGGAGCGCTAAATAAAGACATTTAGTGTTTGATCAAGACGGAACTGACTGTTTGTGCTGCGAAAATATGGCAGAGTTGCACGTTGAGCCCAACGCGACTGGCATCATCGAGCAGACCGAGCATTGTGAAATCAGAGGCTCAGTGAACGTGAGACTCCCCTCGCCTACACTGGTGATTCCGCCCCGGAGTGGCTTGGCCAGTCCAGGGGTCTCCGGCTCCAGAGCAGTGTTTGGGTTCCCTATGAAGAGCAACCCCACTTCCCCATCAC